TAATCATCGATTTGAATTTTCATATAAATAAATCATTGCAAGTGTTAATGATGATTTGTAAGTTTTCACGATAACATTCAAATAAGCAAAGAACAGTACATCAACTAACAATGATACGTGATAAAAAAATAAAGACCTATTTGTTCATTTACATTGTTTCATTCATAAAAAAAAAATAACCTATATAACCAATAAGAAATGTACACTATGATTTCGATAAACCAAAAATTAAAGAAACTATTATTCGAAGAGTTTTAAAATAAAAAAATAAGAATAGAAATAAACCTAAATTTTTTTCGTGTAAATAAGTCATGTGAATAATAATAAACCGAATTATGATAAAATAAAAATATTTAAACAAGTGAATGAGCAAAACGAATTTTAGCTCCATAAACAATTCCTTATCTTAAAGTTTTTATTACTAACATGATGCAGTGGTGTAGCCAAATGATAGGCAATTAGGCGATTGCCTACTATGAAAAATTTTTAGTACCCGTGTATGTCTAAAGACTCAAGTGATGCTATCTTAATGAACTGTCTCTTGATGAAATCGAATTATTTTTTTTTTCTTAGAAAAATCAATCGATGTCTTTTCCTCTGAACAATGATGTCAATGATGACGATTCAACAGTATTTTCCGTCAAAATATTCAGTACTACACATAAATTCAATAGTGAAGGATATGAATAAATGCTTAACGATGTTTCTAAGTATGTTAAACCTATTGAATAGAAACGATTGAAGTAATCTAAGTTGTGAACTTTGACGGTGTAAGTTGTGACATTATTCTTTCAATGTAAGAATTGAAAGTTATACAAAGTAAATAGAACATGTAAATAAAAAAAAAGACTGATTCAATATGTAAATGAAAGTGCTTTGAAAATACAAGTCAGAAGTTGAGAATAGTAACAATAGAATCATAATTTGTAATTTAGAGGATGTATAGACGACTGAATATCAGAGTCATATAGAAAACTCTCCGCTTTGGAAGGATTCCCTAGTGACAGATGTGAAGTAGCGTTTGTCATTGTACGGCAAACGAGAATAAACTAACGCTCATGCACGTCATTGTTCAATGAAAGAAAACAAGTGACATTTGTCATTTTCCGACGAAAAAAGACAAAGTGACATTTGTCTAGTTCGATAAAAAAGATAGATCAACATTCGTTGTCATCATCACTTAATAAAAATAATGACAATCGCGACAATTATCAGATAAATGAAAGAAATCATTGATGCCATGGTCAATGAGAAAAGACAGCAACATTTTCTACCATTGAACAAAAAATAGAGTAATAAAAAAAAATTCTCCATATATTCGTATAGAAAAATTAGCGACGATTGGATTTTGGATTATAACTATTTTCTCTTTTTTTTTGTTCTATGTATTTTTATTTCTACTTTCTTGACATAAAATAATCAAGCATTTGAATTTGAAAATTGAAGAGTACATCTGTAAAACAGCACAAAGAAGGCGAGCGAGCTTGCTTATTAATTAGAGTTGTCGGATATATCTTCAATAAACAATCAATTTTTATAATGGCAATAAGTTTTTCTAAATTATTGCCTAGTGAATTTTTGCAATCGCTAATTGCTGTCTACCTCTCAAAATAGTTTGGCTGGAAAACTGTCTATTACTTAAAAATTGCTAGCTACGCTACTGATATGATGAATTATTAAGAAAATTATTTCAAACATACGAAACTGTAGACATTGAATTTATTTTTCAAGTTTATTTGTTGATATCTTTTTTTCCTTAAAATCTTTGTTTCGAATGGATAAAAAAGATTTCTAAAAAAACAAAGAATTTAGCAAATTAGTTAAATAGATGACTCCAGTTGACGAGAAAGAGTCGTCTAAAACACGTGTAGGCAAAGTCGAAAACTCTTTCTAACTGTATGTTTATAAAAGTTCTATCATGTCTTGTCTATTAGTAACAAACATATCTGTAAACAGCACTAAAATGTGATCTGTAAAAGAAAACGAATATCATAGTATTTTGTGATTTGTTTTGATTCATTTCATAAGATGGCATTTATCTTTTCTCTATTAGATTATCATCTCTATTCTCGACAAATTATGCGAAAAATACTATGAAATTATTTGAGATAACATTGAGAAAATTCACTGTCGAACCTCTAACCATTTTCAGATTGATGTTCGTATTGTTGTGTTCACTGTTCGATTTTGTTATTTCTAGCCATTTGGCTTATGAGAGAATATATCTAACTGTTCATTGTCGATCGAAGTAATTTTTTACTCATAAGTAGAAATCAGTTAGACTAGAAAAATTTTGAAAGGATTGCTCTCCATGGACCGTCCTTATGGAGTTATGGCTGTTTTATCGGATTTTCAGCTTGTGACAAGGTATTCATAGAAAAATCAAAAAAGAACGATTTTTCATCTAAAAGTTTTAGCGAAATCAGGTGATTTCTTCTCAACATATTGAATAATGATGAAAAAATTGCCTTTATAACTTTTTTGTGGCATAGAATTGTTTTTGTTTTTGAATATTCAAGATTTCGAGAAAAAACTATGCATTTTGACTGGAACTTTCAGGATATATTTAGAATCAAGAGGCCTCCTATTTATGGATAAAAATTCAAATGAAAATTCTTTCGTTTTAATTTTTCTACGTATATCTTTCCATAAGCTGAAAATTCGATAAAACGATTATAATCCTATAAGGAAAGAAATCATTCATAGAGTGAGTATCTCGGGCGATTCGTAGCCATCATTTCAACTGGTTTTATTAAAAATGGTACTATTCGAATCGCGAAAACTTTTATCGATTTCAGATCGTTTTAACATTCTGTTTTGACATTATTTCTTATATCGTTGTTTTTTTTTTTTGCAAATTGTCAATCACATTATCTAACGCGATACTGTACAGTTTTCTATCAAGTTTTTAGTGAATTGAACGGTGTATCTAACCAAAAAAAGAGCAGTGATATATGCGTCTCCAGAAAGGAAATCTTAGAAAAGCTAAATCGATGCGAACCAGTTTTTTTGTTGAAAAACTCAGTAAAATTTCGATATCTCAAGAATGAAGGCTCGAAAAACTAAACCGTCCTAGAGTTTTTTATTACTCACTAGTACTCATCAAATGAACATCGTCTCGGTTGAAAAGAAATTTGACACTTGAAGAAGTTCTTCCTTGAGTATCTAAAACGTAGACTTATCTTTAAGATATTTCTTCGATTATAAATCATGTAAAAATTTCAATTAGTCTTTTCTACTTTCATATGAATTATGCTAATAAATAATTTTTTGGCAAATTCAAACTTTCTTCAAGTCTTAACAAATTTATGAAGTAACTGGTACGTTAGAATAAATGAGCGACTCAATATTTTCTCAATGTCTCTGTCAATTTTAATAGTTACAGACTAAGTTTCGTCTTAAAAGACTCCATGTTTAATTCTGTAAAAAAAAAGCCATAGAAGTAAAAGCAAAACAGCTTTTGTATAAATATTGCAAACTGTACTTTTAATAGCTTTCCAGCAAAAATATACAAAGTGATTTGCGCTTTCTTTCCACTAATCATACACTATTTAAACGCTTCAAAGTATAATTTCAGGTATAATTAAGTGTGTTCTATCTAATGACACACAGGAAAGAAAGTATCAACCTAAAATATTCACCGAGAATCTAGTGGTTAGGCAACAGGTTCAAATCTGCCATATCAAGTCATTTTTGCTTGAATCTAATTGAAAGAAAAAAGTAATTGTGCGGTTTTAAATAGACTTCTATAGCATGACTCAGTAGCTTTTAAATAAAAACAAATTTTACTCTGAAGAAAAGAATTTATGATTGAGTTACATATATTTTTCAAGAGTATGAAACACTATAGTGCAAAAACGTGAAAATTCTAAAAAAGTAATGTTTACTTTTCGCGATAGAAGTTTGTTGTAAAAATCGATGAATCTGTCTAGAAGATAAAACTTTTCAAGTCGTACCAAATGGTTGGTTTCACGTTTCGATATCACAATATGACAACACATTTAATATAAGAAAACTGAGTTTTGTGGTTGAAAGTAATTAAAAGTATAGGTTTGCAGCATTTGTACAATAATTGTTTTGCTTTTACTTCTATAGTTTTGTAGAGAACTGAATCCTAGATTTTTTAAGACGAAACTTAGTCTATAACAATTTAAAATGAGAGAGATATTGAGAAAATACAAATGAGAGAACATATTTGAGTGTATCTCCTCTGAGAATGAATTCAAAAGCATTCTATCTGTTAAGGATCTCGAATATCAATATCTTAGCTGCTTTTGTTTCGGCCTTGAAAAGCGAAAGTGTCTAACTTTTTCATTTTTGTCTAATTTGCAAGAACAAGCAGTTTTCTTTGGGGAATACAACTTGATATCAATGATATGCACTGGCGATCTCGTTATCACAAGTGAAGATATCACATTTATGTTTCTCATCTAATTGATCACTTATCGTTTTCAATAATATATGGATGCAGTCAATAGAGAGCTAAGTTAGAAAAATAGATATGATATCTTCATTGGTAATAAGGAGACAGCTCTTGCATATCGCTCATATCAAGTTGTTTTCTCCAAAGAGAACTACTGGTACTTGCAAATTTGACAAAAACGAATAAGTTAGACACTTTTGTTTTTCGAGATCGAAACGAAAGCAGCTAAGGTATTGATATTCATCGAGATCCTTAATAGATACAATACTTTTGAACTTATTCTCAGGAGGTACACTCAAATATGTTCTCTCATGCGAAGCTCATTTATTCTAGTGCATCTGTTAATATCTAAGCATAGTGTAACTTGACAAAAGGAACTTATAATATAGAAAATAAGAACATGTGGAAAATACTTCAATAAGTTTGTCTTTTTTTTTTTTTTTAATATTTTCTTTAGAATTGCTAGTATGATATGATCAAAATTAATTTGTTAGTAGTTCAAAGACAAAACAAATAGACGATTCTTATTTCAAATTCAAAGTAAGTTTCATTGTTTTTTTTTTTCGTTTTAACCACTTTATGGACGAGCAAAGAATAAAACTTGTAGAGCCATGGAAAGTGTTGTAAGATAACCAACAGCACAAGCAATAAATCGACCAGGTTGTGGTAATGGCATCTAAATAAAACATATATTGATATACAGAAAAAAAAAACAAGAAAACTAATGATTAAATTATACTTGATAACAAACTGTATGTACTAAACGTGAAATAAAAAAGACTCGAAAATGCCAATAAGCTACATCTGGATGAGGATTAGTAGTAACATAGAAAAAGCCAACAAGTACAAAAGGTATTATATTTTCAATATCATTTAAATGATTACGACGAATACGTTCAACATCTGGATCAGTTTTAACTACAACTGTTGTATCTCGAGCGAATGTACGATCTTCAGGAGTAGCAAAGGCCTATAAGAAAACGAAAAATATTTTACAAAATATAATAAATATGATATTAAATATAACATCTTTTGATAATCGCTTCATTGTAGTAAGTGCAGCCATACCCATTAATTTGACAATTGAGGCTGTTGAATAAAAAGCAAAATTAGTAAAAACTGAATTATTAAGTGTATAATAAAGAATTGACATTGTTGAAATATTTGAATCGTTTAAAATACGTTAATGAAATCTATCCACAATAATTTGATGAATAATGACTTTGCGTACGAATCAATACACGTGCAACGAAGAGCAAAACAAAAAAGAAATGACGAATGAGATATAGAATAGTGTTTTTCTCCCTTCTTCTAACCAAACGTTTCGATCGTTTTTCTGTTGATGCGCGTGTATGTGTTTCTGATGACCTTTTCTCTTTCTCGCTATTGTTAATATATGACACAGTAAACAAATTTGCAATAACAAACACACATGATGATAAATAATAGTTTTGTTCGCTACTTTATATATTCATAGTTATTTTAGATTGTAATTTTGAGTATTGTCATCAGAAAAATTGTATTGATAGAATCTTGTTCGATACATTTTCGTCATACTGGATTCCTATACAAGAAGCTACTGATGTACTTTTCTTCATCTATAGAAATACTTGTAATAAAAGCTACTTTTCAATTCTAAACAATTGAACAAGTTGAATGTGAATATGATCTTGCTTTTGTGTTCAAATTCTATCTTTTATAGAATTCAAATGTTTCACAAGCAAAAAGTGTTATGGCCAACAATAAATCAGATCTAGAAGAATGAACAGTGCGAGTTTGATATGAATTCAATTAAAACTCATCACAGCATTTGGCAGCTATGCAAAAGCTTGTACTTAAAAATCTTCTCAGGCACTAGAATTGGCCTTTTACTTTTGAGAATCATTTATAATTATGTATAGTTCGATGCAGCTCGATTAGCTGATTCCAAATATTATCTTAATTTTCATGTCACAATGTCATTGTATCCTCAAAATCAGTGATTCAGGATGAGAAGTCTGATTTGTTGAAAAACTCCTGCATTCGTCTGCAGTCATAAATATAACATGAGACAATGACCAAAAATAAATTGCGTATGCATGAGTTACTAATGAAAATTTGTGATGAAGATTTTTTTTTGTAGTGTTCACAAAATACGATATGACTGATTTTTGGAGCTAGTTTCGGATTAATTATCAATTATATTTTTTTTTTCTCACATCTTGTTTAATTGAAACGAACGCTTCATACGATCAGGAAATTCATTTTTTCAAAAAGAAATTCATTTAGCTAATTACAAAAGCGATTTCTATGTAAATACATATAGATGAATACAGTTTTTAAGTATAAGTTTTAACAGTGAAAGAGTGATTTCACTTTCACTCCTGTCCACTTAGTTAGCCCCTATGCCATACAACGTTATTCGCATAAAACTCACAGGCAGATAAATGTGAGAAATTTGTTATTTTTTTTAATGTTCACTTTCAATTCATATTCTTTGTTAGTATTGCTAGCGTACATAATTTCTTCCAGGAAATGAGAAATCCTGTGTTTATCATTACAACAGTTGAACTGAATGAATTCGAAATACATAATAACTAGTAGATAGATCAGCTGTGGTAACCGCACCAATATCTAATTGACGAATATTGATTAATTCATTTTCTGTTGTTTTTTTAATATTTTCTAAGAAGATAATACATTGTTTAAGCATCAAATGATTGATCACTGCCAAAGACATATTATATGAAAAAAAAAATTCAGAAAATTTAATCATCGATTGAATTTTGTGAAAGAGCTGTTCTTTTTTTTCTCACTTTTACTTGAAGTTTTTCTTAACACTATAAATCAATTACGGATGTATGAGGAAAACTTTTCTTTTTTGTACATCGTCGTGCTGTTACAAATGCTTGATCACATAATGAGACATCTAATTTAAAGTCTTTATTATAATTAATTAAAGTAATAAAATCACTTAAAAAGATTTTAACTGTTATATGTCCAAGCAATTTGTATTGTCGAAAATTAGTATTTTCATAGAATAAAATAAATTGATATTTTGAATAATGTTTTATACAACTTTACAAAAACAACAATTTAAGAGTTTTTCTTTTTAAATAATCTTCTATGCTATTATTGTATATCAAATCAATGATATAAATTCTAATGATTTGTTTCGTTTTTATCATGACACAAAGTTTCATATGTTCAATCATATAAAAAGAAACAATATAAGAATATTTATTTGTCATCTCTTAATGCACACTCTCTATTTATACAAAGAATCTAATTTGTTTATTAATTTGTGATAGATAAAGTTAATCGAATGAAATCAGAAAAAAAACTTAACGAAATAAACTGATTAACTTCTAAATGAAACGATGACAGTATCATTTTGTTTATTGTGTATAAAATACATTGTCAAAAAATGAACTTCAAAATAAAACTTATGATAAAATAATTTTCTCATTCATAATAATCATTTAATTATGTTGAATTATCAGTCAATGATCTTTTCAATTTATCAATTAAGCTTGATTTCGAATTTCAATCTTACCGTCAACATTCTATCAAATTTATTATTTTTAAGAATATCGTTATGAACGAAATAAAAAACAAATTAACGAATAGAATTTATTATTATAATTTAGTCTGTATTTGCTTATATATTTTTTTTTAATGAAAACATCATTCTATTCGCTGCATAAAAGATATAATTAAATATTAATCATCATCATTGATATTATTATCATCTAAATGAAATTAAATTAACAAAAAAACAAAAAACAAATATTCTTGATTATAACAAAAATTTTACCAGTATTCATTTGTATTGATTCAATATTAAATGGTTTAATACCAAGAAAACGAGCATAATCATCTCCATAATAAACAAATAATTCTTCTCCGGGACGAATTATTCTCATTGTTTTATAAAACATATTTCGATCATATTGAATAGGTTGTAAATTTTTTTGTTCAATTGTATTAGGACCTTGAAGAAAACAAAAAAGAAAAAAGATGAACTTAGAAATATTTTACTATTATTTCATACATACAATTGATCTAAATAAATGAGAAACTATTTCAATGATTGCTTTAATTTTTCTATATTATTTAGCAACTTACATATCGCATCCAATTACTATTGTTTGAATCACATCCATCAATAATATAAATCATCTCGAAAAAAAAAAAAAAAAAAAAATATTTCGAAAGAATATTTCTATCAATAATACTTTTCCATATTTATCAGCAATACTCCAAGCATAACCTGATTCTTGTGCACTTTTAAAATTTGAATGACGTGTACCCATATAAGGTCCAAAGAAAGTATTTTTTTCAAATCGTTTTGTTGCAAATACACCTTTGCCTGCTTTTAATATAGTTGATGATTTAATAATAATTCCATCTGGACAAGTTAGATCAGATAATCGTTGTGAATATTTAAGTGATGACTTTGATATCTTAAATAATTCAAAAACTATACGTTTTTTTTTTTGTTTTTGATTTTAATTAAAATTAACTTCTTTATCAGGAATATATGATTGTTTATGATATGGACAAATATTATCATAGAATTTATTACAATCATCACAAAATAATCGAGCATCATCAAATTCCGATTTAGAAAATTTTTTATCAATATATGATGATGATTTTTTCTTTGATTCATTTAATTTTAAATCAGATTCTTTTCGTTTTTTATGTTCATAATATTTCGAAGTTGAATTTCTTCGATTAGAATGATGTTGCTCATGCATATTGTTATTATAATAAAAACATGCATTATAAAAAACTAAAAAGAAAAATTTTTTTTTTTTATTGTTATTCTTATTTTTTTTAGTACCATTGTCTTGTAAATATGAAGAATTTTTAGAAGACATTATTTTAATCTTTTATTAATGCATATCGGTGTTCAAAACAGAAAAAAAAAGAAAATTTGAAAAAAGTAAAATGTTAAAATGTATATGTTTTTAGCGGGAGAAAGTATTTTTTTGTATCCAAATGTCTGTATATAATAAACAATCTTATTATCAATTTTCATTTAAATAAAATATCGCTTGCTTCTATACAATAGTTTGCAAAGTACAAACCAAAATGTATAGACGATAGAAAGAAGGTATTATATTTTATTAGAAGAACACTCTGACTATAAATAGAACTTGTGACTTACACAAATCGACTTTGCCCAGTGATAAATTGCTTTTGAAATGAATCTTATTTCAATAGATAGAGACTAGAAATTCTTACGCTTGAGTTCTGCTTTCGTTTTGAATTACGACTATTTAAAAGAGTTTTTCAGATAAAATGTCATGATCATCTTCAAAATCGATCAGTATACTTTTCGCCAAAATTCAATAATCTGCACTTCGATGACCGAAACGATTGGCAATATCTGCAGTGGCTCTCTCTCTCTCTCTCTATACGATATACACCTAAGGAAGTGAACGAAAAGAATGGCCTCTGAAATGAAGATCATCTTTCTTTTTGAACTAATTGCATTGAGTACTTTCTTTATGGAATGTTTGAACTCGAAATTCAATCGTCGATACTAAAGGATTCAAGAATAAGAATCTTTTTAAGCTTTCTCTAGTGTCAATAGAGCCTAGTTAATGGAATAAGAGTGATTTCAAAAGTGATTCTATCGTATCAGTAAAATGACATATAAGTATTGATGAAAGTTTCGACAAAAAAAAATGATAATCTCGTTGGAAGAATTTTCTTCCTAACATTGAAATCCTCTAACGAGGAAATATTTTCAACTGATCAATCGCTTTTGAATTTGGATCCTGTGTATAAGGTAGACACGCCAGTGAAATATAAAAACAACTTCGAAGTATAAGTTCTCTTAGGCATTCTGGTCAGACTTATAGGCAATTTACTAGAATCGAATGACGATATTTTGATCTGAGATTTTGTCCACAGGCAGGTCTCTTTGTCAGTAAAATGTTCTGAAAATTTAATCACAAACAAAATGTTTCCTTCATGATATAGGAAAGTCCTACAAGATGTACCTTTCGTAGAATATCAGTGACTTTTGAAACTTTATTATCTAGAGAAGGAAACATGTTTTTTTTTTGAGCTGAAATTTTCAGGATATTCTACTGACAAATAAACTTATCTGTGGATAAAACCTCAGGTCCAGATATCATCATTCGATTTAGTGACATATACAATGCCAAAGGGTAAAATTCGGATGAAATACGTATAAGTTCAGACAGTAGGTCTAAGAGAACTTATCCTTTGGATTTTTTTTCATATTTCACTTGTGTCTACCTTATACACAAAGTCTAAATTCAAAAGCGATTGATCAGTTGAAAACATTCTCTCGTCAGAGAAAATATATTGATTTAGATATGACACATACCTTTCTCAATTTTTTCTATATCTCTGATTTAAAGGTTTTTATCTAATGTTATCATTCTCGCCAAAATTTATAATGTGAAATGATAGACAAAAAAAAAGGAAAAGAACATTGAATATTCGACAATATTTTGAGACTATATTGATCAAACTAATACGCCATCTATTGACTCAAAATACTTGTGGAGATATGTAAAAACCAAAGAATACTCAAATAATATAATTATGAATGAATGCATGGTTTGATCTTGATCCTTTTCTTTCCTTCATTGCTTCGAGAGAGTGTTCATAACTATATATACATATATTTACAGTACATAAATAATTTTAGTTTGTTTTGTATATAGAAAAAAAAAATATTTTGTTTGGTTTCATAAAAAAAAAAAGAAGAAATGACTCGTCGATTCAATAAATTTACAATTCTTATAACAAGCACAACAACAGTAGCAGCCGCCTTTGGTCTAACACGTTTGATTCATCGACGACAAGAACATCCTTCAAATGAATCAGATTCAAATGAAAATAATTCAACTAAACTATCATCAATAGTACTTGAATCAAAACATGATTTAACTGATAATACTTTACAAAATAAAGATAATAATTTATATATACCAATTGAATCAAGTAATGCAGTTACAACTGCAATTTATCACCAAGCTTTACATTATATAAAACAAACACAATCAACAAGTACTCATATACGTGAATATGGTCTTAGTCATTTAGCTAAATTACATAATTTACCTTCAATTTATTATTCAATTATTGGTCAACAAATTGATTATCATTCAGCTATAAAATTAGCACGAACATATGAAGCTAATTTAAATTTATTTCCTAGTGGTCCACCATATATATTTTCAATTGGAAATAAAAAAGTACTTGCTGCTGGTAATGCTGAAAATGTAAATGATGATGATGTACTTTTACATACCATAAGAAAATTTCTTGATCAATTAATTGATGATAAAAACCGTCCATTAGATATATTGAGTCAACATTATCTTAAATTGGTAAGAGAAATAGAATGTAAAAATTAATATATTCTATAGAATATGATTTATGTAGAACGCTGTTCAATCTCATATGTTACCTATGAGGTAGAAATCAATGTAACTAAGAAAATTAGAAAAAGTTTCAGATTTAGTAGGCTAACTATTTATGGAAAACTTGATTACAAGGTTTTTTCATTTGAAATTTTGCCTATAGACAGATCTTATGATCATTAAAATATCCTAAAAGTTTCAGTAAAGACCGAAAGCCTATTTCTGTTTGGGTAACGCATAGATCTGAAACCTTCTCGAATTTTCTTAGTTTCATTGATAAGAGAAAGTCCTCAAGTAATAAATCGCTTTTAAGTTGAGACTATATTCAATCAACAGTGACTAGTCAGTAGATAAATACTCCAGAATGGTTAGACTAGCTTGTGTAAAAAATTCAAAATTCCTAGGATATTTATCTATTCACTAGGTTTTATTGATTGAATATACTTCCAACTAAAAAACGATTTATCATTTGGAGACTTTCTCTCATAAATTTCCTTGTAATATTTATGTATTCATTGAATAGTTACAATCTTATATGGATGATGTTCATTCTCAAACTGTATTCGATCTCGTTCAACATTTTGAAGCTGAACATGCTGATATATCATCAAAAGCTATAAAACGTTATCGATCAAATCTCGAACTTTATTCAATATTTCTTTATGCTCTACGTGGTTATGCTGATCGTTATCCACTTGATGTTATTCATTTAAATGGTTTACAAATATTAAAATATTTATATGAAAAACGAAAAGATAATATACCATTTGTAAGATTTCTTGGAAAAATTCTTCTATTACTTAGTCGAGAACAACAAACACATGATGCATTCTATGCCGTTGGTTTGAAAAAAAAAAATTTTATTTTTTGTTTAAAATTATTATAATTGTATTATACTACTTATAGGTTGGGTAAGAATTCTTCATGATATGGCAGTAGATAAGAATAATATTATTTATTCTTTATTGGCATCGACTATTTTAGCAAATCTTGATCGAGCAGTACATGACAGGTACGTAAATTATTTATTCAGCAGAATTTTATGACAAAAAAAAAAACTAAATACAACTTTATATTAGAGAAAGTTATTGTAATAATAGAAATGAGAATATAATTCAATAGTTCATAAGAGGATAGTAACAAAATATTAAAGTAGTTTTTTTTTATTAATCTTACGGCAATGCTCATCTAACGACAAACGCGAATCTTTTTGATTTCATGGAAACTATTTCATATCATAGATGTGTTGAACATATAGTTTTTCTTTAATGATCCCCTTTTTCGGAGTTTTCGAAGAACGACTTATCAGAAAAAATTGAAATTCTCAGGGCAGATAGAGCTTGATAAGTAGAGCAAAAGTTTTTATCTCGGATGCTATTTTCTATGAGACACTATGTTCAATTAAGCTGAAAATTTTTTTTACAGACACGGGACACTGTTTGGCTTGGGAATTCTAAAAACAAATACGCGAAACAATGCACAATATTCCCTAATTTGATTTCTTCTCGAATATTTTTAACGTTTAAAAACAATTTTTAGATTCCAAAATGTACTTAGTAGATAGATAGCTATACAATGGCTACAGAAAACAAAAATTTTGGGTCACAAAAGGCTGGAGGGGAGTATTCTTAATTCATCAATTACTATATATCGGAGTTAGCAATATATGCATTAAGTCTATGATTCCAACTCTTCAATTCGGGTGTGCGTGACAGTAGAGAAGTCCAATACCTACATCCACACCCGGTAATCGAAAGCATTTTTTAATAGATGGGGTAAAATTCTAAAATTGTATTGGTGAAACGGAAAGATACCATTAAAATCTTATCTTATGTTATAAGAAATTATATTGAAAAAAAAAGACCTAATTTTTGTTGTAGTACGTCAATGAGTGAAGAAAAAATATCTGTTAATAGAAATATCAAACCTTTACACCTATCACCAGAAATTAGTGATCGTGAATTAATTGAAGCGGAACAAAAGGCAGAAGAAAAAAAAGAAATTTTACATGAAAGTCAACCATTACCAAAACAATCGAATCTTGTCAATAAATTTGTACGTCGTATATGGTATACAAGACCAGTTTCTGATGAAGATGATACAGACGACGAAGATGAAAATAATCAAATTATTGATGATCATGTCGAGAAGAAAATTGCTGCACCAGATATTGATACAAGTCATTCAATACATACAGATAATAATATAAAATTAACAGAACAACAACAAATATCTCCTTCTATCCCATCATGGATTAATGATCAAGTATATGGTGATAAAGTAAGTCTATTATAATTCTCTTAATAGTTCTAGTTAAAATTTTTACGTTATCCATCATATCTTTTAAAGGTAATATGTGTTTCATCCTCGATATTATATAGTTTAAGACTAATGTGGAGTTCATGCATCAAAATCAGCTGTCCGACAGTATCCATATTTCATTGTATGACATACATCTGCTGCTTCAGTTAATCTATATAATGATTTCTAATGATAGGCAGAATTATATATATTGAGGAAAGTCAAATAAATAAGCGAGAAGAATTCTATATTAGATGGTAAACAATCAAAAAAAAAGAAGAAGAGTAATCATTTTTAATATTTTTGCTTTGATAATAATGGTTAAAAGAAAAAAATTTTTCTTATTTCATTTTATTTTTCAAGATTATTCTATTCAATCCAACAATGTATAATATTCATCACATGGATCCTAATGTACGTTGGCATCAAGAACCAATTATTGATGTTATTTTTGTAAGTTATTTTTATTTTGTATACAAATATATATATATTGTTTTTTTTTAAATTAGTTCCATGGTTTAGCTGGTTCAGCTTTTAAAACATGGCGACAAGAATCTGCACATTATGATGTTGAACAACCAACAGAAAAGAAAATATTACCAGTAACTGATGAAGCTCCTGAAGAAGAAAATGATGAAGTATTAAATATTGGTGAAGAAACGGATTGGAATAAATTAAAAACTGATATACCTCTTCCTGTTACGAAAACTCAGGAAAATCAACCATCATCATGTTGGCCAAAAGATTGGTTAAGTAAAGATATATCAACATCACATATACGTATGTTAGCTATTGATTATGAATCAACTGTTTCGGAATGGCAACTTCGTTCATTACCAAGAAATATTATGCGACGATCAATGTATGATCGAGCAAAAGAAATAGGTGAACAATTAAAACAAGCTGGAATTGGAAAACGACCAATTATATGGGTAAAACTTTCATAGAAAAATTTTCTATTAATTATGTATTTTGTTTCTTTTTCAATTTGTATTCTTTAAGATTTCACATTCAATGGGTGGTTTATTAACAAAATATATTTTAACAAATGAAGAAAATGAAGATATAAGATCAAATACTCGTGCTTGTGTTTTCTTTTCAGTACCACATTTTGGTGCCGAATTAGGTTTGTTATTAAATTTAATTATTATCTTTTTTTTTCGATTAATCTTTCGGTTGAAAGTTTTTTTATTTTTTTGGTTATATCTTTATAAGAGAAGATCGTAGATTTTGTTCAGAATTTTGTACTCTTTAAGATGGTATTGTTAGAAACTAATTTTCATATGATCTTCGTCTTCTAGCTCAGTTATGAAATTTTCTTTATAGAATGCATTTGATAGAGAATTATTCAAAGAAATTTTTTTTTAAATATTATCATTTGACATACGTAAAAAGAATTATTTATTATCTAATAAAATATTTTATTTATATGAATGATTTAAAAAATAAAGAATATATCAATATAATCTATAATTCTTTATTAAATCAATGAAATTTGTCAATCGTTTTATGTAAATAGTGTGTACTGGAAAATGTTCTAGAAAGAATTAATTCCCTTTGTAAAGACAATGTGTTTTTCTTTGTTTATCTTTGAATGATAAGATATTATCTAAAAAAATTAAATTTTTACATTTTACATAAATGATGAAATATGGAGTTGTTTGCATTTTTTGAATAGTTATTGCCTTGAATGTATTATAGAATTCATAAATAGTATTGAATCGAATATTAAATATAGATAATATATAATGTTTAGTATTATAAAAGATTGAAGATAGTCAAGGATTTTGTGATGATCCCAGGTTATTTTGCATGTATTGTTGTCGATGCGCTGTTTTCGCTCCTTGATTTCATTGATTATTTATGCATGACGTTTTTTAATCTTTCCTTGTCACTCTATATATCCTTGATTAGCATATCGTTTACTTCTTCTGTTCGTATGTTTAAATTATCTTCTTGCCTAATCTCGTTATTTTTTTCTTTTCTCTCTTTTGTTTCATATATAAGCAATGAATAAACTGTAAAAACCTTTTAAATATTACGAATTTTAGAAAAATATTTTCTCTACACTAATCAATTTTGTATAATTAATATCAAATTAGTCTTTACACAAGAATGAACAAATTGTCTTTTCATCTTAGAAAATATTTTTCTTAGTATCCTTCATAGAGTATTGGTTGGCTTCTATAGAATTTCTAAACAAAAAATACTTTAATAAGATTTCCTTGTTATCGAAGATCTTAATAACTTAATTCAAAAGCTAATGAATAGATTTCATTTATGTCTGAAACTAAAAGTTAATAATTTCCATTTAAGTCGTTAACACTAATAACGAAATCAAAACCGATAGGTAGGATAAATCTTGATAAGAAAAATTTATTTGATTCTGATCTCAAGGTTTTGATTATGGTTTTTTAACCTCTATCATCACCAGGGATTCGCACAGTTTCATTTTTACGTTGTGCACCCATCGTATCAGATTAAATTTCGTCCTTTGAGATATGTCTCAGAGAAGGTTAGTAGAACATATGGATGACATTAATTGATTCTATTCAATTACTATTAATATAATATAGCAGCTCAAAGTACATAAAAATATTTCTTCACCACCTGGGGTCCATCTGAACTCCAGGCTATGAAAATCATTTCATGGTTATCATTTCTATGTAAACATTGCAATTCGAACGTGATAGGAAAATTACCACTTATTATGATAATTGTTATATTTTTTTGTGTCCAAACCATCACAAAATCATTTGTGACACATACTGGAAAATGTTTTAAGAACATGAAAAAGAAAAGATAACTAAACAGTATTTAGATAAACTATTCTCCTCTTGAATCTTCTTGTGTATGATATATTGTATAGGATGCTTACAGATACTCTACAATCCACAGATAATTTCAGCTACGTCTGTTTGATAATTAAGCTTAAATCCATATGGACTCTACGTGAGAAGTCGTCAACTATTTCATAGGTATTGATATGAGAATTAAACGACTACAAAAATCTATTCTAATTTCTTGTTGTTTCTCAATGATAATAATTGATATCTGTTAGCGATAATTTTATTGTAAAGCAAACACTTTTTTGAACATTTTTAAACCATTGACGAGAGAATTCATCTGATTGATAATCTCCATTTGAGCTCATAGGTAGGACTCATAATATAGATAAAAATCCTTAAAGAGTTCGTACTATTACGCCTTTCTTTTCGAATTATGAGCATTTTACTGAACTTTCAACCTATTGTAGGATATCATGAGCAAAATCGCAACAAGAAGTTTCTATCTGAAATTCTTTCTAATAGTGAGCTTTCATAATTCTTATAATATGATTTCTTCTTAAGACACTGTATGCCTAAAGACTGGACTATTTCTGAAGCTTTTGTATGAAGGACACATTTTTTTTTGCAAGCGTGTCATCTCAGAAGCAGAACATCACAATGACTATGAGAGCTTATTATCAGGAAAGATATCAGACCGAAACTCCTTGTTGCGATTTTTCTCGTGATATCCTGCAATAAGCTGAACGCTCAGTAGAATGATCATAATTCAAGAAACAAGACGTAATAGCACGAACTCTTCCAAGATTTTTATTTATACCATGAGTCCTACCTATGAGTTCAAACGGAAATTATCAGTTGGATGGATTTCTTACTGTGCTGACACACCAACTAAATAATTCTATGATCTCATTTAGAAATTTATTTCGCATTAGAATTCCAGTCGATGATATATATATATTTCACTAAGCAACGAAGGAATCAGTTTATCTTAATTAAATTTTTCATATCATTTCTAAAAGAATTCTTTGATTGAAAATCTATGATTATTTTTTTTGCTTTTTTTGTTATTAGCATCATTTGGTATTCGTCATGCATTTATTGTTCGACCAACAGTTGAAATTGAAGAATTACAACCAAATAGTGAAAATCTTCTTAATTTACATGAAAATTTTCTTCAAATACTTAAAACTTATGATAATATAAAAATTTTAAGTTTTGCTGAGAATGAAAAAACAACATTTTCATTACGTTATCAAACTGTTGTTGTACCATCTGAAAGTTCACAAATAAATATTGGAAAATTTTTTATATTAAATAAAAATCATATTTATATATGTAAACCAAATTCAAAAGATACTCTTGAATATCAAGAATTACTTGATCTTATTCGAACAATTTATTACGAACGTAAAAATGAACTTAAAACTGATCAAATGAAATCAACAGAAGATCTCCTTAATAGTTTATATATGTTTTCATCACCTATAGAAGATGATACACAATAAGTTTTTTTTTGTTTTTCTTTTGTTAGTTTTTTGTTTTTATTCCTTCCGAATATTTGTTTATATTCGAATGATTAAAATATGTATTTTTCTAGAGATTTTTATATTCAAGCTTTAACATTTTTAGATAATATTTACAAATAATAATACAAAAGAAAATTTAAATGAATTTGAAAAAACAAATATACAAGAGATAACATCTATAGATGAAATCTATACATATATTGCTAAATTGCAACAACTTGATTTTATAAAATCGACCATGATTGAAAAAGTAAGAATAATAGAATTTAGATTTTAAAAAATAATTTTTTTCTTTATTTTAAAGTTCAAATTATTTTAAATGATGTAAAATATCGACTTTGGCTTTATTAGTGAGTTATGGATTCATTTACTTTATCAGTTGAAGAAACAGGCAAAAACATTAAATCGATAATGAATTAGAAAGATCTTTTCAGAATATGAAAAGCAGAAATTATAAAATTTCTCGTATTGTTCTTGCCAATTATCAATGAGTATAGAAATTAGAATGGTTACCCAAGTTGTCCAAGCAATTCCTTGCGACCAAAAATCACTCGGAGAGAATTACAGGTAAAAAATCTTTTCTTGAATCGAATGAAAATATATCGCTGTTGGATACCTCTTTGAAGAATTCTTCGGTGTAAGCTTGAAAGTACCTCTTTGGTAATGGCATCGTTACTGTCGTATGAAAACTTTTTTAATAGTGACTGGAGAATGAAATATTTTGTTGAAGTAATAATTGATTAACATCACGAAAATGTTTTTCTATAGTAATATGCAGCAGCCTATAAGTAAATAATGAAGCAATTTTAAATTTAAGTTTTTTCTCGTTTGTAGAACTCATATTAAGTTTTTCGAAGGAAAATATAGTGTGTATAAGTATTAGGTCGACGTTTTTCAGCTTGCCTTTTATAGCAATGTGGGTCAGAGGCAGATAAATATGTTCTTTCTAGCAATGGACGACAATAGGTGCCACAGTTCCTTTGCAATGAAAAAGGCTTTGAACGGCAGTAATAGCAAGACTTCGACTGTTCTAAATAGTGCAGTTTTTGATTTTCGCGCAGATTGAAATTTCTATTCAAGATGTCAACGATGATGGATAGTGGTACATAGATTTGCGATAATGGGCATATCAAGCGTGGATTGATCAAGTTATAATTTTGGGAAATACTTAATATCAATGTTTGTGAGCTTACTGACATATATATATATAATAGTTCGTTGAGAGCTGATGTAAACATAATGGATCTGTGCAATAGGCTTACTTATCAATTAAATTAATGGTTAGAATAATGATAATTGCTAGAGATTTTTTACTTGACATACTTTCTATTAGTATAATAACACATGTGAGTTCGACATTTTAGTTCCAAATAGGTTGTGTTGACAAGCTTTTTATTTCTAAGCAGGAATTGTTGAACTTTAATTGTCATACAATCATGTATTCAACTGACGCACGATTTAAAACTTTCTATTTCAGACGAGAAAAACTATCTTATCATAAGACGATCATAAAACATCGCATTTCGTCATTCAGTTTTGTCCGTTAGCAAACTATCATTATTTCTCTCCGATGATTTTCATCTTTTTATACCATTGCGAAAAATAACGATATTAATAGCGTTTAGAATAATGAATAAGTCAAATCTGTCACATATATTTTATTTTTCTACAATATTCTACTAATAATGTTTTTCGGATAATTGTTCCGTTTTTTATAATTTGCAATGTCTTTATCGAAAATGAATAAAAAATAAAGATTGGTATTTATTATTTTTCAATAGAAATTAATTTGAATTTCTCTAGGATATTTGGATCATCATCAATTTATTTTACTGAATTAACATTTTGGTTAACAAATATTGGTTTTAATTGGCTTCTATATAAAAGTAAACATTTATCAAAATTTTCAATTGAAAAACGTTTAATATATTCATCATTTCTTTCAATAATTTTCAATTTTGGTTCAATTATGATTATTAATAATATAAGTCATTTTTTTGGTCGAATTGAATTATTAAGACTTATATCTAGTTTAACATTATCGAATTGTTTATTATCGATTGGTTATTTTTATCTCGATGATCTTTACAATATTAATAATAATTCTAAATAATAATAAGAAAAAAACAAAATTGTTTTGTTTTTCTAGATTTTATTCAATAAAGATGAGTAAAAGTTCCTATGCGTTATTGAATAATTCTACTGATACACTCAGTGTTGAAATACCAATTAAAGAACCACCATCATCATCATCATCACAAACTTCATCTACAACGAATACGACGAATGAAGAAACACTAAATAATCGTTATATGCAAATAGCAGTTGCTGTTGTACTCTATTGGTATGAATGAAATTGATTTCAAGTTTTTTTTTTGTTCGTCTATATAGAATTGTTATTTAGGTTTGTTTCGATTTCTATGGTGTTTTTAAATAAATATTTACTTAGCTCAAAAGATGTGAAAGTAAAATTGTTTTTTGTTTTTAATTAATTTATCTATTTATAATAATTTTATTGTATATAGTTAGATGCACCACTTTTTATAACATGGTATCAATGTGTTGTAACAGTTGGTTTTTGTGCTATACTTGGAAATTTAAATAAACGTGTTGCTGTCTTTTCAACATTTCCTTCATTTAAAATTGATCTTAAAATTGCACGTGATGTTAGTAAAAGAATTTTTTTTTTTGTTGTTTGTTTTTTTAATCTAAAAAAAAAAGAAATTTCTATAGGTACTTCCACTTTCAATAATGTTTGTTGCTATGATTATATTTAATAATTTAACTTTAAAACATTTAACTGTATCATTTTATATGGTTGGTCGATCATTAACAACTGTTGCTAATGTGGTATGTTATCAGTTTAAAAAAAATTTGAAAATGTAATAGATTAAGTGTTTTTGTTTTTAAGCTTTTTACGTATTTTATGCTTGGTGATAGAACATCATATAGAGCTTTAGGTTGTTGTTGTCTTATCATTGCTGGATTTTTTCTGGGTATTGATCAAGAAAATTCATTAGGTAAGATAATAGTCATTAGGAAAATTATCATCAAATATTAGAAATAGAATAGAATAGTTTGTTTTATATTACAATAAATCTTTATAATCTCTATTTCTCTTTTCAAGGAAGATTTCTCACGTAAGAAAATAGAAAAAAATTTGACTTTAATTGATTTTATTCTGAGTTTTTTGTCAACATTTTCTTACATGATTTTTGCACCTTGCGATTAGTAACAATCAGAAATTTTTATTATGCGAATTTATTCAATTCAATGACATTCAAGATCGAGTACACTGTCAAGTGCATTAAATAACATGAGTTTTACTGAAGTCGAACAGTCTTAATTATGTAACTAAAAATAATAATCAATCTGACTCTTTGAAATTGATTCGCATGCATTTTACTCGTAAAAATTTATGTTAATAATTAATTGTCTTCAAAAAGTTGGAGTATTTGCGAACGCATCTTGATCTTTCGATTATTCAATTTGCGGTTACTATGATAATAAATTTTTTACGAGATTCTAATAAATAAGCTGCAGTGATTGTGGAATTCCATCGTTTAGAAATCTTTTTTTTTGTAAAAGAAATATACTTTTAATAGTGCCATTCTAAGTTCAACTGGATTATCAAAAAGTGACTCGATTTCGATGCCTGATATAAATTATTTCATTATTACATTTTTGAAGGATTAAGTAAAACTATCCTATTCTTATAGGTACTCTTTCTGTATTTGGTGTATTTTGTGGTGTAGCATCAAGTATATTTGTAGCATTAAATGCTATATATACAACTCGATGTTTACCATGTGTTGATAAAAATGTTTGGCGTTTATGTTTATATAATAATTTTAATGCTTGTATTCTATTTCTTCCTCTTATGGCTATTTTTGGTGAATTACCAATTGTTTTTAGTTATCCAAAATTATTCAATATTTCATTTATATTTCCTATGACAGTAGCTGGTTTTCTTGGTTTTTCAATGGGTTATGTAACAGGTTATCAAATAAAAATGACAAGTCCATTAACACATAATGTATCCGGTACAGCAAAATCTTATGTGCAAACATTAATTGCTGTTGTTGTTTATTCGGAAGTAAGAATATAAATGATAGAATGAATTATTTGTTTTTTTTTTCTTCTTAATTCCAGACAAAAACAACGCTTTGGTGGTTATCGAATCTATTTGTTCTTGGAGGATCTGGTCTATTTGCACATGTTCGAGCCATGGAAATGAAACGAAATCATAATTTAAATAAAACTACTGACAATAATACGAATATGTCTTTACCGAAATAATTAAATTTGACGAAAAAAAAAACAAACAAATTAAATTTGACTTTGGATTTGTTAAAGAATCTCGATGAACTCTTCCATTCTTTTTTTATTAAGAAAATGAGAAAATAGTTCTTTTTTTCTTTTTTTGATTAATCGTTTTCTTTTCCGTTATTTTATTAACATTAAGCTATTCTACTGTGATCATTTATTCTCTTATTGATTTATTTGTTTGTATTCGATAAAAAAAAAACAAAAGAAATTTATTTATCTTATTCATTTTTAGATTTTAAATATAAAATAAAATAAAATAAAAACAAACAAAAGTATTGTGTTTATTGTTGAGAAAAAAATCTAGAAACTCTTGGGCTTTTAGTAATGATGAGATGAACAATTGCTTCTATTAGAGTACATACAATTTCGTGTTCGTTTGCTTGATACGTGACGAGTACCTGAGACTATCATTTAATTAGTATGATGATTACCGTTCGAAATTGTATGATAAGATGAAATATTATAGTTATATTGTTCAATGATTTGAGAATAGTATGGATAAGACGAAGACATGTTTTTAAATAATATATTTATCTTTTTCTTTATGTAAATAAAATCTATGAAAATAACATATATAACATAAAACAAAAAAACCCATGATTCACACACAATTGGATTTTTTTCGTCCGATAAAATAAACTCCTTGTTCAAAACAAGGTGAATAGATTTGTCGTTTTGTTCGATTAAAATTAATATAAAGTATTTCAAATTGATTAAGAAATCTATCAATAATCCATTTAGTTATTCGTATTGGATGTAAATATTCAGCATTTTGAAGTACACAATCACCTTGTTGTGGATAATCAAACCATCGTTCATGAAATATAAGTAAACCATTATCTTCTAATAAATCATATAAACCACGAAAATATTCTAATGCATCATTAACATGTTCAATAACATTAATCGATATTAAAGCTGAATAATATTTTGATGAATTTAAAAAAGATTTTTCTTGACGACGATTTTTCATGATAATTTCAATTGATTCAGCTATTATTGATATTGGATATCCACGAAGATAACCACCACGATATGCACAATTATTTAATTTCATATAATTTAATGCATTTGGCTCAATAAGTGTTATTTGTTTAATTAAACGAAATGGTGTTAATAAATATTGTACTTGTGTAAATGGACCAGCACCAATTTCAACAATTGAATTAATTTTTAATGGAACAATTTTATAACCATAAAAACCTTCAACATGTTCCTGAAGACGATCATCAATTATCATTGGATTTTCTTTCCAATAATCAAGTTCATTATTAAGAGATTTATGCCAGAATATAGATGGTATTTGAGTTATACCAGTTAAACGATGATAAAAACATAGAAATATACAAGATATATTCCATTCTTGTTGTGCATATTTTGATTGTAAACATTTTTTTTTAGTTTGTTTAATTAAAGAACGAGTCCATTGAATTTTATGTGTATCTATTGGACAATGAGATCGATAAGTCTGAAAAAGATTTGAATTTTCTTTGTGTTTTATTTTATCATAAATACATTCATAGAAATTCTCAAAAAACTTGAATTAAATTTAAATATAAACATGATCAGTGTGTATAAATCAATATTTTCATTCTCATCTTCTTTATTTAATGTTGAAAATAGGTATGAAAGCGTGCAGTAAAATTGTAAAAAGTCTTCGAATATTTCAATTTTCAAGCATGATTTAAAATTCATAACGATCATCGAAAAACGGAAGCGTTAGTGATAATCTTTTTCTTGGGAATATTCCAAGATCACCCGAATTCAGGAAAGGTGAGGGTAACCCTCTTCTGAGGACACCCGCGCTTATTCTAGTTTTTGTTTTTTTCTTCAGTTAATTGGTTATCAATGGATACACATTCAGGAACCGAAGAACGCTTTATAGAGTAAACAAAACTGAGTCATTAAAAACTGTTTTGAATTTTGAATTTAATAGATTTCAATCAAAATACAAAATTGACTAAAGTAGTATTCTGTGCAAGTACACTTTTCGAACAATCTGATGATAGTTGTTCAATCTTATTCCAAAAGGAAATTCTAAATACATATTTGGAAAGAAGATTTTCGTACCATAGGTTATCATGTAGATTTTTTTTTTCGTATACTGGTAATATGAGCATTTTTTCTCTTGTTTATATAAGTCTTCATATTTATCACAAAAGTTTTTTAATCTTAAGACTTAACTATCTATGCTTAACTTCGTTTAAATCATTTAGAAAATTTTTAACCTAGGTTTTTTTTCGATATACCTCATTTTTTAATTTTATTTCACATTGATCTCCAATAAATCCTGGATAGCAAACAGGTTGATCAAAAAAACATTCACCATGATTAAAAATTATTAACGATGATTTTGAACAATGACATCTAGATAATGATGATTTAAATGAAGTTAAATATACTGTTTTTATATCATCTGAATTTAAAATTTTAATTAAGAGAAAAAATCCAATTAATGAAGTAATAAAAAGTCCAAAAATAACTATAAAAATCGATTTTTGTTGTTGTCGTCGACTGAACAGCTGCCACATTCGATAGAATTTCATTTTCTGTTTTAATTCTATCGATAATGATTACATCTTTTCTTTTACAATTTGAATTCATGCTGAGATGAAAAACGAGAAAAAAAAGAAATTGTTAACTTCAAATTGTGCAGAAATTTTAATTGACTTTTTTCTTAAATGAATCATTTATATTTTAGAAATTTTTATTTATTCTCAAATAGAATAATGATTAATGTATATTCGAAAATATTATTTCTATTCTAATTGAATAGAACGATTTGTCGTTTTTATTTTTTGGTTACTAATTTTTCTTTTAAAATTATACTAATTATTGTATTCAATATTGTGCAACAAATATCAAATTTATATATTTTTTTAAACAGTTCAATAACATATTCATTAAACTTTTCAGATTAAATGTCTGTTTCTACAAAAGTCAGAATTAAAATAATTTTTTCTCATGACCAAATTTGAGTCAGCTACCATTATAAAACAAAGTATTGTCAGAATCGATCATGTTCTGAAAAACCTACAGCAATTACTGAAGGAAAAGTCAACGAAGTGTAAAATTGAACTAGGACCAAGTATTCGATTTATTGCACAAGTTCGCTCATTACTGCAAAACAACAACATACCGAATTATGATGGAACATCTCTAATTAAAGTATAATTTGTTCAATAGTCCTACGAAGAAGAGTTACATAGACTGAATACTTGATCCTGACTGATTTTTACATTTCATTAACTTTTTCTTCAGTAATTACTCCACGATCATCGATTTTTGACAGTACTGATTTTACAAAATCGCTGGGATGTGTTGCTAATGTAATGTTTAGTTGGCGTATTTTTTCCAAGTTCAATTCGTAGTTACCATTTTACAATGTTGGCTTATTCGAAGTTAACCACAAACAAAACTATTTTAATTCTGACTTCTGTAGGTGCAGATATTTCATCTAAAATATATTGAATAAAACTTTAATGAATATGTGATCAAACTTTAAAAAACATATTTAAATCCCTCAAATTGTCGACAAGCTATTCACCTTCTTTTTTCATCCGGACTTTTGAAAGAACTCTGTAGTTAGTACTAGTCTGTTATAGAGATAAATGTGTAAAGAAATGCATACTTTATTTTTAATGACGTGATAACATAATTGATATTTGAAAAAGTATTGAACTATTTCACAAAATCTTAATTTTCTGTTGGTGTTAACGGAAGCTTAACAAATAAACTTTGATCATTGAATGGATAGAAATAATCATCATTAAGTTTAATTATGTCATTATTGAAAGTTTTTATTTTTAATAATCTCGATAAAATGTAAGAAAATTTAAACTATATCATATCAAATAGAAAAATAAAAGTTGATAATTCAATTTTCTCCTTGAAATTAATATTTAAAATCATTAGTCTACTCCATAATTTATTTCATGTGCCATCTAATACAGTCAATTATATCATATATATACGTGTGTCTAAGAAAGAATGCAACTTTTTTTATGAAGTAGAAGGCACAATACATAAAAGTATATGAGAAAGAAACGAAAAAGTAAAAAATAAACATTTGGTTTTGTTCATTCTTTGTTTATCTGTCAAATTAATTATATTTTCGATTACAAGAGTTATTCATAATTTACATCGTTTAATCTATAGAATCCAGTTCAACTATATGATATACGATGATTTTTTAAAATAAACACAAGAAAATAAATTCAGTGATGTATACTTAGCATTTAAAATCGATTGTGATATTAAGACATAATTACTTAATAAACTAGAATGAATAACTCATATTGATCATAGTTTTTATTGAATAAGAATTAATTTTATAAAAATTTGTTTGATAATTACAGATGTCATTGAATAAAGTTATTATTATTATTGGTGCAAGTTCTGGTATTGGTGCTGGTCTAGCTCGTTATATATCAAATGATGCTAAAAATCAATTGAAAAAAATTGGTTTAGTACTTGTTGCACGACGTGAAAATGAACTCAATCAAGCAGCTAATAATGCTAAAAATGATTATTGTTCAACTCTTGTTATTCCAGCTGATGTTACAAAACGTGAAAATGTTGAAAAAATTTTTCAAGAAACTAAATTGAAATTTAATAAAATTTCCTGTTGGATTAATAATGTTGGTTTAGGTATATCACGATCAGTACTTGATTTAACTGATGATGATATTGATATAATGATTCGTGTTAATGTTAAAACAGCATTATATGGAATGCAAATAATTATACCATATTTTCGTCAACAAGGCTATGGTCATTTAATAAATATTTCATCTATTCTTGGACGAGTACCTTATACAACATTTCGTTCAATGTATAGTGCTTCAAAAGCTACTCTCAATTCATTAACAACAAATCTTCGTATGGAATTACAAGCTGATCCATGTTGTGAAAAAATTCATGTTACAACAATTCTACCTGGTATGGTAGCAACTGATTTTGCAATGAATGTAATTGGTGATTCTGTACCAAAATCATTAACTGATTATAAAATTCCATTTATTGGACCTTTTCCTCGAACTTCTCAAACTATTGATGATGTTTGTAAAATTATATGTGATGTAATTAATAATGAACATCCACCAAGAGAAGTTTATACAAATCCAGAACATGAACCATTAATTAAACAATATTTTGAAAATGTAGGCAATTTTGAACTTCTTCTTAAACCACCATCTTAATATGATTTATGAAATAAATAAGCTTATTTGATTGATGTCAAAATTAACTTTATATTATTAAGAATTTCATAAATGTAATTCTCTATTCAGATTTAATTATCGTACTTTTTTTTTCCAATAAATGACTATATCAAGCTTATTTTATATTACTCATTCATACGTATTTTTCGTTGCTAGTAATTGTGTATGACTTGTATGTTGTTTTTATTCCATTTAAAATGAAGCTCAATCTCAAAGTTAGGATTTTCAAAATGTAATAATAGATGATAGGAAAGCTTTTAGAGAAGATGTTTGTTCACTTTTCGAATATGGGTATTAGAAATTTTGTTCGAGACTAGTGAAGTGATCTTTGAAAAGTTCAAAAAATTAGTTCGAACTGTATTTTCACTATTGTGATTCGACACTAAAAGTTGAGATCTTTATTTATATATCAACTTGTAGACATGGAAATACCCTACAAAATGCACTATTCGAAATTTGTTTTTTGTCTTTGGATAGGGCCCCTTAATTTTCTTTTTTTCTTAAATATTCATTTTTGAAAAATCAGCAACCATTTTACGCTGAAAGGAGCTCGTGAAAAAATGCTTGCAATTCAATATCACATTCTGTAGAGAAATATCTGCTCTACAAAAAGACCGACTCCGACAATTTTTAGCATGTTCGAAAAAGAACTTATAGAGTAAACAAAAATCTGTTGGCGACCTATCGTCTTATATTTTTTCGGTCATCTGTTAGAAGCCCATCCTATCCGTACGGGTACAAGATAGCAATATAAAATCATCGAATAGATTAGTTCATCACTTTTCGGTGTTTAGCTGCAACTTCTTTGGCGTATCGAATTTCATTTATTGTACATGTTTTCTATTAATAAACAAACGAGTTTTTTGTGAGCCAAAAAAAATGTAGACATGGACATTAACGAGAAGCAACTGTTCAGGAACTTGCAAATAGGAAATAGGCATGCTTTAATACTATTCTGTTGGGTTTTTTTTCTATCATGAGATTATATACACTCGAGAAATGAATCGATGAAAGTTTAATTAAGTAAACAGAAGTATGAACAAATCTTTAACTGGAAAAAGAGATATCTCACAAAGCTGAATGATGGTCAGTTGTCACTACATGAGAGTTTATCGGACTCGGAAAACAAGTGCTAGTATGAGATGAGTACGATATCCATTATTGAAACACTCTTAAGATCTGAACTATCTATTTCATCAAAATGAGAAGCCTCCATTAGGAAGTAAACGACTGAAATATATATTCTGATGTTTATGAATTACACATAAACTTCTAAGATGACTTTGCCTAGTAGAGCCGTATTGGTGCATACTTCAAAGTTCAACAGTTTCTCACATCAAAGAATCGTAACAAACGCACTTTAATGTATCTATATTAAGATCTATGAAGTGCTGATGATAGATGAACGTGTGAATAAAAGTAATGTAATAAATACATCACTCGATTTATTTAATAACATGCAACCAAAAAAGTATGAAGTCAATTTTTAGTTCATTGACAACTATCAAAGTTCTTAGACACTTTGAAAACTTCGATTTATCGAATCTTGTGCACTGCTGAGCTTGTTAGCGGATAAAATCATAGCTACAACGCAAAAAAAAATTAATTGCAATAAAACTCCACCTCCAAACATTTGACTTGTGAAAGTATTTAGAAGCCAAATTGGCTAGTATTCTCTGGGAATTAAACTGAGTTTATAGTAGATCAAAAAACAAAAAGATTGATGCGTTGTTCAAAACAAAGAACTAATGAGAAAAACATTGTTTTTTTCATATTGAAATTTAATATATTTCAAAAGCTTTACTTTTTTTCATATTTGATTTCGTGAAAAATATTCCCTTGTATGAATAGAATCTAGATCTATTGAGCTTGAAATAACTGTGTTTCGACGAGTCAAATTTCTTTTCATCTAATAGATGAAGCGACCTCTGTAGATTGTATCGTTACGTTTTCTTCATCTCTCGATTATATACTTGGTATTTTCGATATGTTGTGAGATTTTTTATGATCAGCAAAATATATCTAAATGAAATACATTATATACAGAGGGTATAGAAATTGTAAAATATTTAAATTCTTATGCTGAAATTTTCAACAATAACAACAAAATCGTAGTAATCTTTTTTTTTGCTTTTCTTTTTCTTCTTAAGTGCCTTTTTTTTCTATTTCATCAACAGCATCTCTCGTCATACTTTTTTCTTCCTAGTTGATTGTAACAATGGCTGACACTAGTGGTAAATTTAACAATAATGGTGATAATCAAAATGAAATACCTAAAAGGTGTGTAAAGCATTTATCTATTTCAAAGTCTATCTTTATTCAGAAGAAGCTCCTCGATGTTTGGAAGCATGATAAAATAATGTCTTATTTTGAGTCTTGTGTTCTGATGACTCATCTTGTTTATTAGCATTGACTTGTATAGTTTAATTTGTTTTTTTTTTCTACACTAGATAAAAATTTTACTCGAGTAAATGTGAGAAGTATAGTTGAGTATCGTCTGATGATAAAAACAAGTTATATATATATCGTGTACTCTATTACTAAACAAATCGATTGTACTATCTATTATAAAATATAATGTGCTCCACTGTTTTTCGAATAACTTTTAATAGGTCAGTAATTGACCAATCAGATGAGTTTCTGGCGGAGATTTTCAAAGACGATATTTTGAAACTATTTACTTTTCAATTTTGACTTTTATTAGAACTACTCGATAGAAAAATACTTTTCTTTCGATTTATACAAGACCAGCACTCCTAACTTGTTCTGTTCGAGAGTTATAAAGTTTTTTCTCAAGACCTCCGATTTCAGCCATTTCATTTGTGATCATCCGAAAAAGCAACTTGACAGACATAATTCACCATTCTATTCAACATGGTGAATTATCTCTGCCAAGCTACTTTTCCGACAATCGGCTGAAATCTAGAGTCTCAAGAAAAGAGTTGTTTCTATCGAGTAGTCATATTAAAAGTCTGAATTGAGAGACAAATAACTTCAGAATATTGTTTTTAAAAATCTTCACCAAGAACTCACCTAATTCATCAATTGCTGACCAATCAAATTTCGATATACTTTAATAGCCCAAAGTCTTCAGTCTTGATTAGTAAAAATCGCAGATCTCTATAATTTTCCTATGAAAATTTATTTAAAAAATAGTGGAGCAGATTATGTTTTGACATGAATAGTTGTTTCTTTAAAATTGATTTTAGAATTGTAACTAAGAATGGGAAATAGTAATTTGTGTCGAAAATACGGAACAGTTGGTGTGGATAAAAGGTATAGAATAATCTTTTATTCATTCTTCATATCTAATAAAATATTTTGCAGATTAGATAAACATGATCAGATATTTAGAAATAAGTATTTGTTTTTAATGAAGTGAACTTTCAAAGAAAAACTTTAAGATCTTTTTTTTAATATTTATTAGTAAATTGTTCTATAACAATAGCTTTAGTTTATCAATCTCATTTGTCAACATGAAATTTTTCTTAATAGCATTTAGTAATAGAAAAAGATAACGCTCAAATTTAACTTTTATAATAAAATATGCTTGAAATATAGTAAGCATTCTGTTAACATTGTTCCTAAGGCGATGAATGATTATTTATTTACACCGTTCATTTTTTTTTTAGTGAATCTGATAGAACAAATAAATCGGAATCCGCCACCAATAATAATGAAGCAGGAGAAACAACTAATATAAACACATTCGGTCCAAAAGTATTCGAAAAGAAGAATGATTTGGCAACACCTAATGATGTCAATGAATCTAAAAAAACGACTGACGTGAATAAACCCACTGATTCTCATGAATTAGAAGGAGTCAACAATGTGAGTAAATCTTCTAATAGCAGTCAAGTCGAGAGAACGAATACGTCGGGCCCATCTCATGATCATAATGAACAGGAAAGAATAAATAAGGAGAATACAACTTCTACAAATAATAATCTTAAAAGAAAGGTTGATTCGGTGGGTAGTTCCTCTAGTTTCGATGAAAGTAATAAATCAGATGGTTCAACGATATCTTACAGTGACAATGAACTTGATTTGCTTGAATCCATATTAAAAACAGAAACAAATCAAAAGTTAATGGATCGTCTTCTTGGTTGTGCTTATGGGCAAGCCCTTGGTGATGCATATGGTCTATCCACTGAATTTGAAACACGCAGTGATGTTGCGTATAATTATCCAGATCGTTCAAAGATAATTCCGTTTCCGGACTATATTCTAACTGGACATTCTAGACGATGGAAAAGAGGTGATTGGACCGATGATACAGATCAATGGATATTAATTCTAGAAACATTAACAGAAACCAATAATGATGAACCTGAAGATGTAGTTTTTGCTAAAAAGTTAACATCCTGGATTCGACGCGGATATCCAGAATTAGGTGATTATGGTGGGATGGGATTAGGTGCCAATGTATCGCAGGTAAATCTATTCTTGTCTAAAGTTCTTCAATAAAATGAATAGAGGGAAAATTTGTTACATTGAGATAAAAGAATATTTCTCAAAAAAACAAAAGGAAAAATAATGGCTATGTATATTTAAACCTTCTTAAACAAAGAAAGCGAAAGTCTTTTTTTGTAAATAGAAAAGAATTTAAAATATTGCAACAATTCTATTCATTGTTCTTTTGTCATTGGTTCAATGTAGAATGTTTTCAAAGTTCTAGAGTTTGTATTTATTTATTTTTTTTCAATAGGTAGTTCATTCTCATGGTTATATTAACGATCCACTCAGAGCAAGTGAAGCAGTATGGGAACGCGGCAATCGTCAAGCAGCACCAAATGGAGCTGTGATGCGTTGTTCAGCATCGGCGTTTGTTCATTTTAACGATCGAGACAAGGTATTAAATATTGACAAATTTCTTAGTTTATATTAGTATCAAAATTCAACGTATATTATTCATGCTTTTCTTTTTTCGATGAAACATTGGAGATAGTACCTGAAATGATTAATCCCTTTTGAACATACAAAGAAGATCTCTAGACTAGAATAAACCTATAAGGATTCGGACACATAGCACGAATGGGTCGAAACAACGAGTTTTTAACGTTTTTCTCTTGCAAGTCTACCATGTAGAAACAAGGTCAATGATTTCGGCGCTGGAATTTGTGAATTTTCGGTCCGAAAACTTGATAGGAACAGCGAAATCCTGGGTGTTCTACCAGAAAATAGCCGGTATATCTTGACCTGAGAATATCTATAAAAGAAAAAGAGTTATAGTTTGGAAAACTAGTATTTCGAAGGCGCAATATCGAACGATTCTGAAATTTCCATGGAAAACTACTATAACTGAAATCATCATGTGTATAAAGTTTCATATCAAAATTTGAAGCAGCCATTGCATTGAAAAAGCTGAGGCTTCAGAACGAAATACACAAAAAAAACCACGATACTTTGACCGATTGGTACTATTGAGCTCAAATGTGATAAATCACATTGGGTATTTATCTTGTAAGGACGTTCGTTTTCTCAATGTACATATTTATTAAAATTAAGATATTTTATAATATGATTCGATTTGAAAAGGTCATATCAACAGCTACATTAATGTGTAAAACGACTCATTTTGATCCTCGATGCATTGCTTCATGTCTTGCTGTTTGTTTGGCTATCACCGACCTCTTAAACGAAAACTTCGATCAAAATGATATTGAATCATTAATAGAACGCGTTCGAAAAGAAACTATCGAAATACTTGGTGATAGTTTTTCTGCCGAAGATCGTAAATTATTCTTATGGCATACAGATAAAAACCGTACACTAGAGGAACTAAATCTTGATGAATCAAGAACTATTGGTTATACATATAAATGTTTAGGATCAGGTTTTTATGGATTAAGATCTACACGTTCGTTTGAAGAAACATTGAATGATCTTATTCGGTATGGAGGTGATGCCGATACTAATGGAGCAGTATGTGGAACTATGTATGGCGCAAGACATGGTTATAAAGCACTTCCTTACTCATGGTTGAGAGCAATGCCATTCAAAAAATGGTTTGATAAGAAAATCATTCAATGTTTCAAACAAATGGATTTGATTGAAATGTAGTAATGCCAGAAGTTAATGATGATAACATAGACTTAATAATAAAAAGAAGCTATTTTTTGTTCATTTTTATTTGTTTCTGAGTATGAATTTTACAAAAAAAAAATTTTTTTTTTCTTTTATTCTCGAGTTATTGTAAGTTTTAAGACAATATTTATTGCGATTAAAAAACAAATTGATTTCATTAATTGAATGCAATTTTTATTCTATTCAATAGTTGGTGAAACAAGCTATCTAAAAAGAAGATAAATATTATTTTATTAAAAATGATTAGTCATAATCATCTAATTTCAATTTTTTTAGCATCCAATGGAAATAATTCCGAATATTCATACAATAAGATTATATTATTGTAAAAAAGTTTAATGAAGTATCAAAAAGAAATTTGAAGACCTTAACAATAATTAGCTCGTAAAAAAATATCTTTGATCGTACGGCAATTTATTTTCACAAGATGATGTTATTTCGATGTAATCACAATTCATTGATAAGTTCTCAATCATAAAAGGATAAAATTACGATTTTAGATAAAAGAGCTGCTAGCACAGATGGAATTACACTCTATTTAGCTTCGTCATATCACTAATCACACGATTTACATACACAGCACACGTTTATATACGCAATCAAGAGAGAGAGAGAGAAAAAAAAAGAAGAGAGAACGAATTAAGCAGATGAAGGTTGTTAACGATGCATAGTAGTAGCAAATGGGAGAACAAAGCGTGTGATAAAAAGAAATAAGGGAAGGTTTAACTTCATTTATGTGCAGTCAATTTAACTAAGTAGTGAGAGTAGACAATGATACACAATAGATTCGATCGAGAAAGTCATAGATAATATTTAAATACCTCTTTGTACAATCGAGAGTAGAAGAAAGAGATTATTTTAGCTTATATTTGCATTCACTATTTAAGTCATGTTCAAACTGATTGATGACCGTTGAATAACTATTTAGACAATGCAATGTTGAGTCAATAATACAAATACTTTTTATCGTTTTGTTTTTTCGTCCTTAATCGTTACAAAATATGCTTTGTATCTGCATTATATAATCATAAATATTTGTGTACAAATTAGATTAATTTTTACGTCCACACGCACGTACATTTTCGTCGACTGTGACAAATGTTAACATGTTAGTAATTATACGTATGTATCATAAGATAAATATATGTGACTCTATGCTTATACATTTCGTTTTATTTTTATAGAAAAAAAGATGTTATTTATTATTATCTTAATATTGACTACGGCTACTAAAGTCGTTGATTGTCAATCGTGGAATACATCCGATGGCATTCTTCCATGGGAATCATATGTACAACTAAGAGAGATACAACGACCACTTGGTCTTACAATTGATCGATCATCGCTTGCACATCATCATTTTGCTATTGGATATTTTTGTTTACATTCATTTATGTATGATGAAGCACAAGAAGCTTTTAATCTCGCATTGAATATTACACCAACATTCATTGAAGCTCATATTGGAAAAATGCTTGCGTATGTTTCAATATCTACAACATTTATTTCTCTATAATAGATTTTTATTTTTAACTAGATGTAAAAATGCATTATGGGAATATACTGATTTTGATTGTGGCCTAGCAGCATACAATGCGACTATGTCAATGTTGGAAACATCAAATATAGAACTTTCACCATTTCAATCATCATTACTAGAAACAGTTTATCAATGGTATGCAAATCAATCATCGGCTACAGCTGGAGAACGAGCATTTTTATCATCGATAGCTAATTTATCAAAAAAATATCCAAATGAAACTGATATTCGTGTTTTATGGGGTCTTTCTCTTCTTAGTGTAGCCTTTGAAACTGAATTTCAAGGTCAAATAGAACCTGTACCAATGATAGAGGCAAGAGAAATATTGAACATGTCACTCGCAACTGAACCGACTCATCCAGGTGCTCTTCATTATTTGATACATGCTTATGATGTTGATCAAGTTGATATAGTAGAAAAAGCTACAGATTATGCATTGGCATATAATAAAACTGTGTTAACATTATCACATGCACGACATATGCCAGCTCATGTTTGGATGCGTACAGGTAATAGAAGTTTTTACAATATTTCTCTGAAAAAACTTGTTTTCAATTGTTAAAGATACTTTCCTTTCCTTTTGAGATTATCGGAGAACGATTCATCAGAAAAGTTTGAAATTTTTAGGACAGACAGATCATGATGAGTACAACAGAAGTTGTCATAAATTCAAAATTCTTGGACATTGTCTTCTATGAGATACTGAGTTCACAATTAAGAAAAATACCTTCCCGTTTTTTCGAGATGCTATGTTTGATCGAGCTGAAAATGTTTTTGCAGACTCTAGAAACTATTTGGAGTGGGCATCTTTTTACTTTTTTGTCTTTCGAATAAAAAAGTCGAAATTTCGAAGGCATCCTAAAAAACATATGTTTTTTGAAACAAAAAAAAAGTCCATCCCAAGCAGTGTATAGTATATATGAAAAAAGTTTTAGCTCGATTCGATGTACTAGGCTGAAGAAATCTGGGATTTCTTCTCGAATTTTTTAGCGTTTAAAGACAATTTTTGGATTCCGAAATATATTCAGTAGATAGATACTACTGCAGACTATACAAGTGTCACAAAAAACCAAAAACTTTAAATCACGAAAAGGATGGAAGGTGTCCTTAAATAAAAATTTTTAACATTCGAAAGTATGTTATTGTATTTTCACGATAACAATAATTACCCATTGAGTGAAATAGTGTATCTTGTTTTTTCTATTTGGTAAATAAAGTAAAAAAAAAAAATATTCATTATTTTATTTTACATTGAATTAGGTGCATGGCTTCGTGCTATGTCAGCTGATAGAACAGCTATTCAAGTAAGCATAACATTATGTATGACGAAATTGTTAAATCGTTTTATATCAATTTCATCAATTGAACTTGAATCTATTTTGACTCAATTTAATACAATAAATCAAAGATCATCTTTTCTTGCATGTGATGCTGAAAATCGAGCACATTCAACTGAATGGCTTTCATATTCTCGTTTACAAACAGGTGATTGGTTAGGTAGTATTGCTCTATTGAATGATCTATTCCTTGCTGATAATCAATCATTTCTAACACCAAATCATTATTTACCATTTGCCTATCGAACTCAAGCACGTACTATTGTTGATCTATTCTTTTGGTTTCCTTACAGAAATCGATTTTTAAATAAAATACAACCATTATTGAGATTCAATGAAGAACAAACTTTAGTTTCATTGAGTGATAATGCTACAGGATGGTATCCAATATGGACTGAAGCAGGATATCGTTTCGGTAAGATTTTATTTGTTATATTCAAATAGAAAAAAAACGATTCTTCTTTATTATTATTTAGCTGATTGTTTGCAATTACTAACTACTTTTTATATGAACAAGAATATATCTGGTATATCATCAACTATAGATAATCATCTAGCCCGTTTTGTTATACTTTCTAATCGAACTAATTCATTGAGTAAATATATATCTAATAGTATTTTAATGATGATACCTCAAATTCGTGGCATACATCATTATGTTAATGGATTATGGCAAGAATGTTTAAATGAGTTAGATGCAGCTGTTCAAATTGAATCGGCTCTAATACCTGAATGTCATAGTCCTACTTTGATATTTGCACGTTCTTCAGAATTGCTTGGTATGCATTTATTAATTATTTATGAACAATATCAAAAACAATTGGTAAGTATTCTGTATATCCACTATATTCTAATAATGAAAAAAAGAAAGTATATTTATTTATTCGTTTTTCTTTTATCAATTAATTTTGAATATCAGTGAATACATTGTATTAAATGAAATAATTCAATTTGATATACTTTAGGTTAAGACTAATACTTCTGTGTATATGTTAAATGGTACAGAAACTGCTATTGACAAATTTCCATTAATAGCATTAAACTTGTACAAAAAAGCTGATCAAATAGCTCCTAATCGAGCTATTAATACACTTGGTATGGCACGATCTAATGATTATCTCAATCAACATAGTATAGCAGTTGGTTTGTATCAACAACTTTTTTTTCAAATGACATCATCTCATAATAATGATGAATATTTTCTTAAAGAAGCAAATAACTATCTTGATCATCATAATTCAGCTATACATTGTAGTTTTTCTTTCACTGTAATCTTTTTTTTTTGTTCCTGTGTTTTTTTTATTTTACAATGAAATTTAAATAAAATTTATTGGATAACCACGCTATTCATCTTAAAATTGATCTTCTAAAATATTCAAAATAGTATTTGATTATAATGAAAATAGAACAGTTTTCAAAGTTCAATTATTGATCGATTTTGGAAAAAATTTAATGCATAGATATATTTAGACTGAATTTTGTTTTCTCTAGCAACATTTTATCATTTGTCAACAACATTGGTCTTATTAATGAACTTAAATTGATAATTGACTTTCGACAATGAAAAGTCTTCGGAGATTATCTATTCTCTAAAAATATGCTGACAATAAAATTTGTTTCAATTTTAAAAAGTTTTTCTTCTATAAAATATTTCTTACATGTAGTTATGAAAGAACAACCTCAGTAGTCTATTAGATCTATTTAGTAGGATTAATAGAAACGTGTCCAAATCCTTTAAAACAGAATACAGTGTAGAAATAAATAATTTCAATGCGATAGCATAGATCATGAAAAATACACATGATGCAGTTTAATGACTTCGAATTCAAACCAAAATCTAATCGAGAATAAACTTTTCATACTGATTCTTTTGTTATTGTTACACAATACTATCTATCCTGTATCTTACTTTCTAAAAGTCATTTTTACGAATGATACGGGTGTATGTAGGAGAAAGGTATTCATAATTTATACTAATACCACTAGCATTCAACTTCGCAAAATCATATATCAGTCCTCTTCACTAATACACATCGTAACAATTTATGCTCACTAATACCCACTAACAATGTAAGGAAAGTTAGAGCATGGACGCCACT